TGGTCATTGCATTACAAGAGTTGTTGGGTATTCTTTACCAGAGTTGACGAGTGGTCTCTGCGAACTTTGAGTGGTATCACTTCATGGCTCAAAAGATTCCACAGATCTCTACTTAATGGGTCGACATGCCTCCCCCCCCCCAAGCCGTACTGTGCTTCGAATTCTTCTGGACAAACTATACTTACCCAACAGAGAAACGCTTCCGTTCATCATTGAACACTTGCTTACTGGCTTCGTTCACTTCACGCATCTTCCTCTCGCGTTCTTCGCGTGATCTAATTGACTGATCCTGAAGAAACACATAAAATCTGAATGAGGCGAACTCACTGTACATTTCCAGGATACTGTAGACTTTTAAACCTACAGTATCCTTGGTCAAGTACAATTACGCATTAAAATTCGCTCAAGCAACTCAGAAAAGAACAATGGTTTCCGGAATTTCAAACAAACCATAGAAAGACGTCGAAATTTCGTGACAGCCATATCCGTTTGCGCTTGTTCAAGATCTTTGAGTCTTTTGTCAAGCTTATGACGCAACCCCTCAATTTCGGCCTTATACGTCTCTTCTGCTCGTTTCCTTAACAAAGGTAGATTGTAAGTGTTGGGAAGTGGATGAACGATTTTCACAAACCTTCTTTGTTCGAACTCTTTTCGAATGTGATTACGACAGCGGTCCAGCTCAACTTCCGCCTTGCGCTTCGCATTTTCATATCGGCGCTCGTTCTCAGCCATCTTGAAGATCCACTCCGGTATCTGAAAGAGTTGGTTTCAGTTCCTGGAGCACGAGACTTGACAGGGTTTTCAAATGAGAATCGAAGGGGTTAGACACCAAAGTGCAATGAAGAATCGGGAAAAATCTGTTGACAAGGGATTACTGCAGGGAAGGAGAGCTACTGGAAGGGCCGGACAGGTTATACTACTATCGGGGTACAGCATCGTGATGGGTGAAATTGTGGTGCCGGTATGACCCCTCCCCCCTTCCTCACCACCTACTTACCGAAGCTCCCACATTTTCCAGTCTTTCACCCGAAGATTTTTCCGTCGAGCGGGGAG